ACAGATTGGAGGCAAGGGCTTAACACTTATCTACAGACCACACCCTCATTAGTATCACGTCTGTCTTTTTGATATAAGAAGTTCATTTTCCTGGGGGCCATCTTCCTGATGAGGCATGGGCGCTTGGGAGCACATAGGGGAGAGCTGTCAGCAATAGCTTGGGTAGAATCAGAGTGAATGTCCTTGGAGTATCTTTCCCAATTCTGAGATACTGTTCTTAGATCATTTTATGCTTAATTAATTTCCTTAATGCCGTAGAAAGTCAGAGCTGAAATGGATCTTAGAGACGTGCCTTGTCTCTCACTCCCCTTGGGGAGGAGGAGTTAATGGCACCTGACAACACTTCTGTAAATCAGTGGCTTAATGGACATCTAAATGGGTTTATATAAAACATTGGGGGTTTTCCCCTAGCGTGTTTTTCCCCCCTTTGGACAGGATCTAGCTATATATAGTTAAGGCTGGCCTTGAACTCATAATACTTCTGCCTCAGCCTTCTGAGGATTGACATTATAGAAGTGAACACACCATGCCTAGCTCAATAGATTCTCCAGTCAGCTCAATTGATTTTTAAATGTCCAGTTCAGTGAATTGGCATTCCCTCAGAATAACAGGTTAGAGAAAAGTAACACATTTGTGACTGTGGCAGAAGCTAGATTCCAGCAGAAATCGGTGGCAGTCATTTTAAACAAGGAGTTGTAGACATCCTCCTCTCACCCTGCCCCTCAAATACTTGCCACCAGGGAACATGCAGACATCTTAGTGTGGTAATGAGGGCAGAGTATGTTAAGTTTGCATCAATCTCTGGCTGATTCTTCTATGTTCCTAATAAGAATCTTCAACCATAATGTTTATTGCTGTGTATCATTTTCTTCCAGTCCTTGACCTGCCCTCTTTGATTTCTTATTACTTCTTCATAGAATCTTCTAGGCCTTGAGTAGTCATCGACTCTGTCACAGCAACTCATTCCTGATTTCTCTTGTGCCAGGCAGCTTGCCTGTGACCATTCCAGTTTGCCACTTACTGTTCCATGTGCATAGACACCAGGCACCATTACCTCCCAGGGACCTGCCTGACATGATCCTGTGACCCATCCTGCAGTACTGACAAACATTTTAATTTATTGTGGAATAGCAGGATGGCTCAGCAGGTCAAGATGCTCACTGCCAGGTCTGACTACGTGAGTTCAATCCCCAGGACACACACATGGTGGAAAGAGAGAACCAACTGCCGTAAGATTTATTGCACACACGCGCACACACACACACACACACACACAGAGAGAGAGAGAGAGAGAGAGAGAGAGAGAGAGAGAGAGAGAGAGATAGAGAGAGAGAGATATCTAATCACTTGCCATCCGTCACTCACGGAATTAAGTCTCTATGCCTTAACAAGCTGTTAAAGCCCATCATGACTGTGCCTTCACACACCCTTCCAATCTGGTCTATGCCACTAGATTCTATCCATGGAGGCCATCCATTTGGCTCCCTGACCTGCTGTGCTTTGGTGTCCCCTCTTCTCAGTCTTGACATGGCAGGCTCCGTCCCACACAAGATTCAGATCAGTTCCTTTCCCTAGAGGCCTTTCCCAAACCACTGCCCAGAGGAGCCCGTCGCCTACTTTTGTTCCTTCTTAGGGTCAGTGTCCCGAAGAGTTAACTGCTAATCGGCTGTTGTATCAAAGAGAGTGTCATCTGCGATGGCCTTTCTTTCAATGTTGGTACGATAACTGAAAATGAAGAGACAGCAACTGTTGAAAATACCTGGTTTTGCTCATGGATTCCTGCTACTGTGTCCTAAGATTATTTGGTGTTTAGGAGGAAATGTCAGTTGAAGGGACAGGATTGTCAGCTCAAATTAAACATGAGATTATGTAGCAGGAGGTATTAGAAAAGGCGGTGCGGTCCAGCTAGCTCCCAGCAGCCGTGTTCCCACTCTAAGTTCCTGCACTGCACTAAGCTGGCCAAAGGTGCCAGTCCGGGACTCACGAGATGTTGGCATGGCTGTTGCCTCCGCAGGTCTGCTCCAGCCCTCAAAACCCAGGAAATATCTGCCACCCCCATGTGGTAGATATAACAATTCCAGTACCTGGCAGAAATAAGACTCTTAAATGTTTAAGATTAACCAAATAGATTTATACATCAGCAAATACTCAATACACAAGATGCCCACACAATTAGAATTGTTAACTGAATTACCTAACTTTGATATGAATAACTCCCTTAGACTGCTAGAGACATGGGGACATTCGTGGCCATCCTCTCTCCTCTCTCCTCCATCTCCTCTCTTTAGTTCCTCCTCCTCCCAACTCCTAGCTCTGCTTACCTCTTCTACTGCCCAGTCACTGGCTCTAGCCTTTATTTTACAAATTAAGGTGAGCAGAAGGTTCAAGAGAAGTCACCTATGTACTGATTCACTCTTTGTCTACAACCCCTCCCAGGAAAGCGGAATTAACATCAAAATACAAGACCAGGGCTATCCATAAAAAGATTACATCTAACTATATTTTAGTGTAAGAGCTAGCAGGGTTTCTGTCTACAGAGATGTGGGATGTGAGAGAGACATGAGTTAAGTAAAATAAAAAAAAAACCATGGAGTGACCTCGGCTGGAATTCGGAAGCCTGGTGAGAAGGTTTAGGGTGATGGGAATAATGGAGAGAAGGAGGGGTTTGCAAACAGAAGGTACTTAGCTCCTTAATTCACTGTGCCTCTTTTTCTTTAAGTCAATAATTCCATATATCATACAGAAATGAATAGCTAACCTATACAACTCAAAGCAGAATAATAGAAGGTCTTGACTAGGAAAAATGAAGTGATTGAGCATACTTATTGAGCCATAACGTTTTGCTCCCATCCTTGTAGAAGAGCAGTACCTTACTTCTTTGCTGCTAGGATTTTATACTGTATGAAGTGGCATAAAAGGATACTGAGTTACACAGTTGGACATTCAGGATATCTATGAGCATTTCTCTCAGAGATCTGCAACCAACAAACAACAAAGACTGGCATCCCATTTGTCATAGTTAGGGTGTCTATTGCTGTGATACACCACCATTATCAAAAGCAACGTGGGGTTTGTTTCCTTCATTGAGGGAAGCTGGAGCAGGAGTTCAGGTCAGGAACTGAGCAGAAGTCATGGGTGAGTGCTGCTTACTGGCTTATTCCTCATGCCTTGCTTTCCCTGCTTTCTGATAGTACGCAGGACCATCAGCCTCAGCATGTCCTGGCCACAGTTATCTGGGCCCACAGTTGTCAACCAAGAAAAAGCACCACAGGCTCACCCGTAGGCCAATATGGTGGAAGCATTTTCTTAATTGAGGTTCCCTCTAGCTTGTGTCAAAGTGACATAGTACCATCCAGCACACGGTTACTTCACTAATTTGGAATATCTGTTATTTTCAACAGGAAATATATTGTGTCTACTATGGATAGGGCAGAACATTAGATTCTGAAGCACTGATATTTCCAAGATAGAATTTACAATTTCATTATAGGGATTAATATAAACCTTTCTTTCATCAGTATTTAGTATGTAAGTTTAGGAAAAGAAACACATGGCTGTCATTGTGAATGAAAGTTCGTGGACTTCCACATTGACCCTAAGGGCAGAAGGAATGTGTGGTGCTGATCTCAGCAACACCAGTTCTCTCTTGGGACAGGAGCCAGGAGCAAAGGGGCCCTTCATCTAGCACACGCTCCTGTACAGGCAACTTTGAAATCTTTCAGTGAGTTTACTTGATTTTGTTGTTAGAGAAAAACAGAATTCATACATAAAATTTCAGTCCAATGGGACTATCAGTTGAAGTGAAGCATAACATTCTAGAAGTTCTGCGTAAGTCTTATTTGTAATCGTAGTACTTAAGCTCCATACATATAGGATGAGGGGGTAGGATAGATTTTCACTATGCGACCTATAACACACTTAAACAGCTTTCCTTAATAGCCTAAAGTTCCTTGTGTTTACAGTAAACTATCTTTTTGAAATCAGTGGTTTATAAGTTAAGTCTTCTCGCCCAGAGCCAGTTTGAGAAGAGGCTAGGGACACCTGTGTTGATCTTAGTCATAGTAATCAGAAGGGCCTAGAGGTCTTGGGAGCTCCTTTACCTCACTCCCCAAGTCAGGTTTTATGGGATCACTTACTGTTCTTGATGACTATCAGGCACACACAGGTATTCAAAAGAAACCAACACAGTAACCGCAGTTCACAGTCACTGAGCAAGTGGTAAGCAGCAGCCTCTGCTTTATGCCCTTTGCATATGTAATCTTCATTAGTGGTAGGAATTCTTCAACAAACAGAATCTGTCATTCAAGGGGACTTGAAGAATCTAGGTGTCCAGACATTGTCTACAGTCACGCGGATTTTGAGTCAGAGTTGATTTTCACATCTGGCAATGAGGCCAGAGCCTGTTGTCCACGGCTTCCTGCCCTTCCTCAGAACATAGGGCAGAGGAGTGTGATGATGCATACCCAAGTATCCACAACTGTAGGGCTCCTGAAGAACATATGTTGTTCTATGGGACTGGAGGCCTGGGTCAGTGGATAAAGTGATTACTATACAAATGTGAGGGTCTGAGTTCAGATCCCCAGCATCCGCACAGAGGCTGAGGCACAGCACTGGAGACTCAGAGACAGCTATACACCTGAAGCTACAGCCTAGTCTAGTCAATGATCTTCAGGTGTGAAAGAGAACCTGACTCATAAAACAAGTTGGAAAGCTGTTGAGAAAGCCACCAGACATTAACCTCTGGGCTCCACATGGGTGCACCCATCCTACATACAGTCAAAGAAATTGTTATTGAGTAAGTTATACATGTAATATGTTTGCCTCTGTGTGTGTGTGTCTATGTGTGTGTGTGTGTGTGTGTGTGTGTGTGTGTGTGTGTAAGCCATGGCCCACATCTCTAGTTATTTCTATCTTCTACTAGAGTAATAAGGATATATTTGAGACCATTAGCAGTGAGTATAGTAAACACTAATTATGATTTCTGTTTTCTTTCTCCACAGTTTCGTGGTTTTCTCCAAATGAAAAGATCCTCATTGTTATTTTCCCAATTTTGGCTATACTCCTGTTCTGGGGAAAGTTTGGTATTTTAAGTAAGTATTTCAATGCATTTTTTCCATTTATGCATTAGTGATATAATGTGTGTTTCTAGGGCAGTGATTCTCAACCTATAGATTGTGATCCCTTTTGAGATTGCATATCCTACATATCAGATGTTTAGGATTTGCAACCATCGCTATACTTATGAAGTACCAATGAAATATTTTTTTATATTGGAGTCACCACAACATGAGGAACTGTGTTTAGTGTTGCAGACTTAGGGAGGTTGAGAACCGCTGTTCTGGGGTATGATCAGTGCTCTAACTAGCTCTGTCTAACTAGCCTGTAGAAGAGGGCCCCTGTGCTCTGGGGACCTAGGATGCTGTGCCTCATTTTCCCAGTTGGAGCTTGTCTGTAGACAGAGCCCTGTTTATGCCTGTTTGCAGCCCCTGATGGAAGGAGCTCGGCTCTTCAGTCTTGCTTTGACAGCCGCATAACCGAATCTCTGAAGGCCAAACCCGATGCTGTGACTGACTTGCCATCAGTAATATAGAATTGTCATCACAGGGTAGCCAGTTGCACGCATTCTTGTTCAGGTTGATACACAATAGGATCCACATACCAGCCTTTGGCCATTCGTTCAGGAACATGCCCCATTTCCTCGGTATTTCCATACCATGTAGTAAGAGAGATTGACTACATTTGTGAAGTTCTGAGGTGACACACTAAACTTTCAAGCTTTAAAAGTATAAGATCTATTTGTCCTATAAGCCCCCTAGTATAGTCACTGAGGACCACCAAGCAACTATTCAGGTAAGGAGAAAATGGTGCTAATTGGAGAGGTGAATGCTAGTCAGTTACTGCAGAGGGTGCCTGCTCTGGATAGATGGTTCATGAAGTGCCTTCCTTGGAATTCGAGCCTGTGTGTCCTCTGTGAGACATAAAAACAGATGTGAGATGACTGGCGGTTTATTTGAAGAGTTTTGCACAATGCACAGGGCTGTGGAAATGCTTAGTGGTTTCAGAAATGTCCCCAGGTTATGTCTAAATGGAAAAAGAGGGGGAACAAGACCTGACTGTGGCAACTGTCAAGACACCATAGTCCTTACCTCCAAAACTGCAGACACGGTTAGAAGTCATCTTAGAATTTCAGTAAGCCTCTTATTTTAAGGAAAGGGCCTCAGGCCCTGCTCCGTAATCACTCGTGTTAGGGAACGCTTTCAGCCACATTGGCAGGCCCAGGCTTTCAGGGCTGTCTTGTGATTCAGGCAGGAAACAGCCTTTTAAGGATCATACAGTGATTTCACAGCAGTGCTGTTGAATTTGGGTTGACAGAAGTTTTCTGGTTATGACATTATCATTAGCAACACCATTCTCAGTGGGATGGATCAGGAATGAATCCATCTATGATCATCCATATTTATACAGAATAAGACTAATGATTATTTTCTGGCTATGGAATACGTTATGTAAGAAGTCATCAAATCATCTGTTGGCCACATACCTAGAAATAAGGGTTGTTTTTTTTTTTCCTTCCATCTTCCATTTCTGCCTGTCTTGGTTTCTTTGGTGTTTTTCTTCTATAAAAGGAAATGGTAAATTGGCTCATACGGCTTATGTATTTGCACATCCCCGTGTCCCGGTGTCTTCAGAGTGTTGCCATGGCTGCTTGTACTTCCCTGCCATGGCTGTGTAATGTTTTATTGAACTTTCATCTTAATGGATATTAAGGAAGTTTCCAAATTTTGATACCATGAAACTCTGATAAAAATGTATGAGCTTTTGGACAGCAGGGATATTTTAAGCCTGCAGATAAACTCTACCAACATGTGTTCCAGATCCACCCTGTCAGTTACAGCTATCTCTGACAGGTACTGCTGTCCATCATTCATCTCAGGGTCCTGACACTGTTATACTTCTAAAAACCCTTCCGTTAATTTGATGTGTGGGTAAAAAAAAAAAAAATTCTCAGTGTTCTATATGTGTTGTATTGGATATATTTTTTTAGTATTTTTATTATACCAGTTGCATTTTAAAGAGTATGTATATGAACCTAAAGAAATATTTATGGGAAATGTTTGATTCTGGTTCATCTTACACAAGGGAGTTGCCTGAGGGATAGAGGAGATAGAGTGGTGTGTGGAAGACAAACCTCTGGAGTTGACTCACCCGGCTTGGCCTCACATTAAAAGTCAAGTAGTTATAATAGCAGCTGAATATTTGAGGAGCTCTTGCTCTGAGGAGCAGTCACTCACTGTGCCAAGTTTTTTCCACCGAAACCATTTATTTCCCACAGGGACTCTGCCAGTGTGTGGCTATTGTTCCTATTTTGTAGATAAGAGACAGGCAGTTTGTCCACAGTCACCCAGCTGTTTCCTGGCAATCCTGGATTTGGACAGTGCTCTTAACCACTAGATTGTGTGCTTGTCTTGAATGTCTGCAGGAAGGATGGATGGGTACCTAGTATACCACTCTGAGCCTATGAAACTGTTAGTAATAGAGTAGAATGTTGGTCTCACGTGCTGATTTATTCTGCCTG